TATCGAGATATAATTTTTTGTCAATATCGCACACCCCTAGGCTCTGCCCCACCTGCCCATATAGACGAGCTGCGCCTGGTATTAGGCATAAAGTATTATGAAATAGTACTCTACCGTAGAGGAAGCAGTATGCAGTATCTCACAACCACGCCAACTCCCCACAGTACAGTGAGCCTGAGAGAGATGTACTGGAAGTTGTTGTTGGTTCGGGTGAGGAGGTTCCAGGACACCAGCTCCTCTGAGGTGAATCTCTGCGTGACATCGTCTTCCACAATGCTCTCAATGCCTTTCCTGGTGAAGTACATGACGTCGCTCAGAGTGAAGTCCCCACGCTCGGCCGACTTCGGCCTATTTCGACGCAACTCCTCGATCTCCTGCTCCAAAGATGAATTATCCCGCTGAATTAAACCTGAGTCACACAGACAAAAGTGCTGGTTAATTATTATTTATAATGCTCACCAAAGCTGCATTTATTTGATCAAAAATACAGTAAAATCTGTAATATTGTGAAAAATTATTACAATTTGAAAGAACTGTTTTCTATTTGAATATATTGTAAAATTTAATTTATTCCTGTGATGCAAAGCTACATTTTCAGCATCATTACTCCAGTCTTCAGTGTCACATGATCCTTCAGAAATCATTCAAACTTTTTTATAGTATTCTTTGCTATATAGAGAGTTCAAAAGAACAGCATTTATTTAAAATAGAACTCTTTTGTAACATTGTTAATGTCTTTAATGTCACTTTTGATCAATTTAATGTGTCCTTGCTGAATAAAAAAAAATAAAAAATAGCAATGCAGTGTATTTGAATGGTAGTGTATTTTGAGCTTGAAGATGTCTATGCCCAATCACTTTCATTATGGAAAGAAATCATGTAAAACATTAGTAAATGATGACAGACTTTTTATTTTTAGGTGAACTATTGCTTTAATATGATGCAAGCACAGAATACAGTGCTCATTCTGTGCCATCTTAAGAAACACATTCAAACAAGACACACTTTATAACCAGGTATAATCAGTAACGTTTTCATCAGCTAAGATGTTGATTAATCAGTGAAGATCAGTGAGGTACTGATAAAGAGCATTTATAAATCGAATGCAGGGTGTCAGTGATAAAGCCAAGCTAAAGTCCACTGTGAAGATGTGAGAGAGCAAGAGAAACTGAAGTCATTGTGTAATGTGTGATTGCTTGAGTAGACAGATAAGCTAAGAGATCTCAGAGCACCGCTTGTGTCGTATCTAGAGGGAAACAGCCATTGTGCAGCAAAACTAAAAGGCAAAAAAGCGGTTTACTTTTATGAGAACCTGAGGACCGAAATAGAAAAGACCAGCTCTTTTTTTTCACTGATAATCTTCTACTATGTTAAAGATCTGTAATCTCATTTGCATTCAGCTTAAAAAATGATCCTTCAACCTAAGTTTGACATTGTCAATAATGGTTTAAAATTCAGGCTGTTCCTCACATAAAGTTATTGTATGACTTTAGAGGACTTGTTATATTGTGGACAAGTCATACGTAACACTTTCATGGTGCTTTTTTGTATTTTTTGGATATTGAAAGTCACTATGGACTGGAATAGAGATGCATGGAACCTAAAAACGATATACACTACCGTTCAAAAGTTTGGGGTCATTCATTTTTTTTTTTTATATATATATTAGTACTTTTATTCAGCAAGGATGCATTAAATTGGTCAACAGTAACAGTTAAGTAATTTATAATGTTATAAAAGATTTCTATTTTAAATAAATGTTTTTCTATAAATCAATTCGTCCAAAAATTCTGAAAAAAAAAATTATCATAGTTTACACAAAAATATAAAGCTAAACTGATTTCAATATGGATAATAGTACGAAATGTTTCTTGAGCAGCAAATCAGCATATTAGAATGATTTCTGAAAGATCATGTGACACTGAAGAGTGGAGTAATGATGCTGAAAATTCAGCTTTGCATCACAGGAATAAATTACTTTTTACAACATATTGCAATAGAAAACTAGTATTTTTAATCAAATAAATGCAGCCTTGGTGAACATAAGAGACTATGTGTTTGGGATATGTGGATGAATAAAAGGTAACAGAATTTCGATTTGTGGGGAATATAAATTCTATTTTACTTTATTTGGTTTTAAAACACCTGGATCCAGATGTGTTTGTGACTGTATGTGTGTAAACTCACCATTTGATGCGGACTGTTTCAGGATCTCCTCTGCTCTACTTGCCCTTTGGATTCTGTGTGTTGCCCACTGCAAAAACACCAGGCAGAGCTTAATATATACTGTATGATTCCATTTGTTCCTGACACTAGGCTTTAGACTTGCATAGTGAATCACAATTAAGACCAAAGTGCACTTAACAATGTGATGATACAGCGCATTTCAGTTTGAGAAATGTATATCATCCGATTATGCCACAATGTTCATTTGTCAAAAAAACTAAATTTGTTTAATTTCCCCTTGGTGAGTGTGTGCAATAGCCTAGTGTCCTGGCAGACGTAGCATGTCAAGTAGTCTTCTGGAGTGTGTCATGCTGTACTTCTTAAACGTCAAAGTCATGTATAATTAATATATATGCAGTTTTATGAGCTCATGAGACTACATTAAGTGTTTGTGATTTTACAAATTCATTACTACAGGTCTACTATTTGCACCTATATAGCGATTAAAAATGGTACGTAGCTGAAAGTTAAAGTGAATTGAATGGATTTGTAACCTATTTAAGTTCTATATTGAAAAAATCTAGGGCATGGCTTGATTTGATCTTTTTGGAGCTGAAAGGAGGAAAATTGGGTGTTAAAAGGTAGAATGGAGCCAGACCGAATGTGAAATAGCTATGTGACTATTTGGTTAATATTATCCTGCACAGCTTAATTGACATCAGTGACAGAAAGGAAAGTTGTTTCATTTGTGGAGGAAGTTACAGCATTTTGATTAAGGATTATGAGAAAGAAAAAAAAGTTTTTCTTTGGAATACTGTGCACATTAAATTTGAAGAAAAAAGGTCATGGGCATAATATATCCTATATTTTTATGCCTGTAAATGTTATTTATATACTTTATAGTTGTTATTAATATTTTTAATTACCTTTTATTTTTATATTTTAGTTTAGTTTAATTTTTAGTCATTTTGTTCCAATTTTGACATTTTTATTAGTTTTTCTGATTATTCAAAAAAATTCTAAATAGTGAAATTTTTTACATTTCAGCTTTTAGTTTTTTATTTCAGTTATTTGCTAATGCAACTCATTTTTATCTCTAGTTTTAATTTAGTTGAAGTTTTTCATCTAATATTTATATTTTATTTAAGCTTTATTTCAATTAACAAATAGTTTTTTTAACAATAACAACACTCATCTTACGTACCTCTAAGGTTTTGAGAAGGATCTTCATGTAGGTCTCAGTGATGCCAAGAGAGATCCCAAACATGGCAGGCAACATGATCAGGACCACCAAACAGGTGAACCAGACCCTCAGCACAGGGAAAAACACAGCCCACAACCCCTCCATATAACCACACGGACTAGACCACTTTCACTACATACAGTACACTACAACACTGGGGGAAAGTGAAATAAAATGAATGTAATAAACACTTATAATAATGTATTAAACACACATAAACATCATACAGGTATAAAAAAAAATTTATAGCATGAATGCACTGTAAGTCGCTTTGGATAAAAGCGTCTGCTAAATGCATAAATGTAAATAATAATAACAAAACTTGACTTTTGATGATGTGATACACACCATAAACTTGTATTTCATTTTTAACCCTCTATCTATCGAGGCAACTAGGAGTTTAAGCCATGAAGCAATATATTACACAAACAAATCGGTCAAAAAAAAGACTAGCTTTTGTTTTCTCAATTAATTAGGCTCGAACTCACCTGGTTTCATGAAATGCCAGCAGCTCTACAGGACAGAAAGCAGAGAATGATCCTCGCTGTCATACTCCTCTGACCCTTAACATGATGAAGACTGGACCTTAAGGTGTTTAAAAAGCCGTTTAAGGAACTTCTGCAGCCTTTACACAGAGCTATTGGGAAACAGCAATGCTGGAAGACATTATAGACCTGTAAGATTTAGAACAAAGTTCAACAGCAACAATAGAAAACTGCGCCTGTGCGCCATCGTGAGGATAAGTTCTCTCTCTCCCTCTCTCCCTCTCTCTCTCTCTCTCTCTCTCTCTCTCTAGTCTACAATTGTAAGTAATCAAAATTCTGTTCTTCATTTTTTCAGAATTCAAAATTTACAAAGTCACAAATCTGCATGCATAATAATTATACAAGAATGTTTAAAATAGTTTTACTTGAAGTTTAGCACACACTTCTGTCTGCTTGGTTAAATGAATGCAAAAAATTCAAAGAACCCCCCCCCCCTTTCACAGCATTTACCACATTAATAAAGAATTTAAGAAATAATGTAGTAAATTAAAGGGTATAAAAAGTTACACATTTTAGTGCTCTTGAACAGAAATGAACCCTCTTGCAACAACAGAGCAATTTTGGCTTTGTAACTTGTGTGGGAGAGCATGTGTTGTCCGAATGGATATGAAATCTTCTCTAAAATTGGGAAGTCTTTAATTGCTTAACCAAGATGAGACACACGAACTAGTACCAAATAGTTTTGTTCTGATAAAAAGGTGTAGTTTAAGTGGGTTTGCATTAGGATATTAATTACATTTAAGTCAAAATACTAATTGCACCTTTAAATTTACAACATGAGCAAAATGTGACTTCATGTCTTAGCCTAACTCGGCATTCCCGTAACTCAAACAGTACAGCAAGATTCATTCATCAATGGGTTTTTAAACTATTGTCACACAGTCCACTGGAATACTAGATTAATTGGTCAATAGCGCCATGCAGTAATCAGATATTTCCTTATATTTACTGTTGTCCATGACAACATGGTAAGTTATCTGTTTTCATCCGGGTAATTGAAACACCGCGTATTGACGTGCATTGAAAACAGAATTTTTAGTAAAACGTCCTCAGAGAACGTCAGTAATAAGATTCTTATAAATTCGTTTTTAAAAAAAAAATGTTTCGGCAAAACATTTTAGGAAAACAGTTTTATTTTTTCATGTCATTACATTGTTTAGAGCACTAAAAACATTTAAAAAATGATATTTCATTCATAAGTTATGCTATGTCCTTGCAGAGGACATCGGGACTCAATTTCTTTAAAAAATAAAAAGACATGACTGAACATGCATAAGCAAAAAAACAATAGATTTTTTTTAAATCACCAATACATTTTTAGTTTTCAGGATTTTTTTTTGTTTTTTTTACCAAACTTTGTATAAAGATAATTCTCAACTATGTTATAACAGAATGATTTGATATACCATTTTCTTCATGCAAAATTTGTGTAAAATGGCCATAAACAGGTTTTCTCGTTATATATATACAGTATATATATATATATATATATATATATATATGTGTGTGTGTGTGTGTGTGTGTCTATAAACTAAATCAAATTTGCATATTAATGTGTTTTTGGGGCAACATGTAATGAAAAAAGTAGTGTAATATTGGGAGTATAAATTAACAAGATTTTCATAATAATATATATTTCATAGGAATATTGAAATATATTTTCTTTCCCTATTCATTTGTTGTGTCAACGTCCTGTTTCATAACAGAAAGTCATATTTTGATTTGAAACCACATAACACTTTCCTGAGATGTTGATTTATGACACACAGTTTAAAAATTAGTCAGATTTAAATGATAATTATCATATTTCCATAAGAGGGTCACTAAATTAATACCAGACATTTTTGAAGACCAAGGAGAGGGAGTGGTCATGGTGAAACATCCAAACATTTAGTATCTCTGAAAAGCCCTGAATGTGCTCTGTACATGACATCCAGACTTCAAACTGGGGCATGTATAGTCTCAGAGACATTCACTAAAATATAATGTCCTCATATGAGGATGCAGGGTCTCAGGAGGATAATACTCTTATAGATTTTTACACTGTACACGGTCGCCCTTTACAATCAACTGTATAGAGTTTCTATTGTTTTTCAATACAACACACTATGAGACAGACTGTAATGCCAAGCCAGCAGAGGGAGCCCTCGCCCGAGTACTGACCGTGCTCCACTGACCTTTAATAAACTTCCGCTCATGGATTCTAACCAAACTCCAGCGTCTCTGTTACAGAATACTTCGCCTCCTATGAATCCAGCGGAAGTGTCGAATCTGCAAGCAGCATTCTCATACCAAGCTGAAATGCTCCAGAAATATTTTTGAATATATATATATTTCAGAAACAAATTTGATGGTACCGCTGAGCAATGAAAGGGCTTCATTCGCCAAGTACAAGTTTATCTGGATCATCAAGGAGAGAGATTCGAATCAGAGGCTCTGAGTTCTTGCCCTGGGCAGAATACGCCCAAAACTCTCTGACTCACTCCTCTGCAGGTCTAACCCCCTTCCAGTGCGTCCTAGGATTCCAACCGCCTCTGTTCCCGTGGTCTGGCGAACCCTCCTCGGTTCCTGCAGTGGACGACTGGATACAACGTAGTGAGAGGGTGTGGGACAGTGCTCATGTCCATCTCCAGCGAGCTGTGAGAACACAAGAATTCCAAGCCAATAGACGACGTCGCCCACACCCTCCCTACCAACCAGGACAACGGGTCTGGCTCTCCACGAAGGACATCAAGTTGCGGCTACCAAGCAGGAAGCTCAGTCCCAGGTATGTTGGCCCTTTCAAGATACTAAGACAGATCAATGATGTAACATACCAATTGGAGCTTCCTGCTAACTATCGTATCTCTCCCTCTTTCCATGTGTCCCTCCTCAAACCCGTCCACTCGGGAGCTGACCCTGGCCATGAAGCCCCAAAACCACCACCACCACTGGATCTTGACCTTTAATAAACTTCCGCTCATGGATTCTAACCAAACTCCAGCTCCTCTGGTACACAGACTTATTCGACTTTTGCGCTTGTGCCTCGTGCGTGAAACGGGGTTCTAAGAACCCTATCATTAAGGTAAAAGCTTCAACTTTTTAAAAACAAATTTGTCAAATTGGTGACGGGAGAAAATAAGCTGCAAAACTTTTAATCAACTGAACCAATTGCGTCACAAAATTATTCACTTTTTCGAAGAGCTCGAAACGCTTGAAACGCCACACATTGGCGACACCATGAGCGATATACAGTTAATGATACTAAGCAAACTGGTATTTCTTATATTATTTTAATGTATTCTCATAATCGTTTCTGCACTTTATTCACTGTTATTTACGTATAGCGGCGAATGAACCGGAAATCCCACACATTCACAGAAAATAACTTCCACATTGCAAAAATAAGGTAGATAAATAAAAGCATCCAAATGCTTCAGATTTTGGATCTACTTTCTGGTCTACTTTCTAAAAAAAAACACTTTTTATTTTCTACGCAAGCTTGGCATTTCTTCTTAGAAAAGATGGTGTTCGGTGTAAAAACAATTATTAAATCAAACATATCATAAGCTGATTAAGGAACAGTGTTGGGAAGGTTACTTTGGAAATGTAATAGGTTACAGATTACAAGTTACCCTATGTAATAAGTAGTGTAACTATTTCAATTACTTTATTAAAGTAATGTAACTGATTACATTTGATTACTTTTTGATTACTTTTCTAAATTTCTAATTTAGTAATCTTTTTCAACTTAATCATTTTCAAACATTTAAACCAGGCAGGGTAAACCTTACAGTAGTACTACTCGGCACTGATTACTGTCAAAATCCTCAAAAATCCACTTGAATTAAGATTATAAAAAATTCATTTTAAAGTATAGTCACCACAAAATCAGACTTTAGCACCTCTTGAGATCATTCTGAGGTTAAATACAGATTTCAAATCATAAGATATAGTTTAATAGCTATGATACTGTTTTTGAAATCAAATCTTTGCATAGCAAATATGGCAGGAAACATTGGCATCTCACAATGCCTTAGGGAAAATGTACAATCTTAAAAAATAAAGCATATACAGTGGGTACGGAAAGTATTCAGACCCCCTTAAATTTTTCACTCTTTGTTATATTGCAGCCATTTGCTAAAATCATTTAAGTTAATTTTTTTTCCTCATTAATGTTGAATACTTTCCGTACCCACTGTACATACACCCAAATAGAAAATAAAATGGTTATAGAATAAGCATGTGTCCTATTCTGTGTCCTAAACTCCTGAAACATTGCTGTCTTATATTTTAGAGCAGTCAATGCATTTTGGGATACAGAATACATTTAATTGAATACAGATTCAATTAAATCTGTATGTCTGTGTGTGTGTACTGGCTTAACTATACTTCTGAGGACCAAATGTCCTTACTTATATAGTGAAAATCATGACAACCTACTAGTGAGGACATTTGACTGGTCCTCGCTAGTTAAAAAGGCTTATAAATCAGGCAAAATATGTTTTTATTTAAATCCATTGTTTTGTGAGGGGTAGGTTTAGGGGTAGGGGTTGGGATAGAAAATATCATTAGCCTGATTTAAAATCAATGGAGGTCTATGCAATGTCCTCACTAAGATAGCAAAAAATAGATAGTGTGTGTGTGTGTGTGTGTGTGTGTGTGTGTGTGTGTGTGTGTGTGTGTGTGTGTGTGAAAA